GCGGAATATTACTGCACATACGAAAGTGGTGGCCCAACTGTTGGCTGTTACAGTCACTTTATGACAGTTGTATGGCTCGTTGGATATGGCCAATATCGTTGGATTCGGAAATTCAATCCTGATGTGTGCAATTATCCATCGCCGTTTCCAAGGATCGATCGCGAGAAAAATAAGTCGCCGTAGTAAGAATTTTCTGAAATGTATCATCCACCATATCGGATCGAACACGAAGAAGAATTTTTGAACCGACGCGTTAACGAATTTTCATATGTTTCACCAGAAAATTCGTAATGATCGATGTCTCGTCGCAAAGTATCACTCGACGCAAGATTCCTCGTTGTTTCATCTATCGAATATTATAATAATTACTACACTCTCGATATTTTGAATGCCTTTGCATATTATATTATATTATATAGAACCCCGCGCTCTGTTAATCGTCATAGAAATCTACGGTCTATTGATTATCATAGAAATCCGAGAAATGTAAATGCAGGTAAGGATACGCGAGGCGTAATGCAACTCGTGAACAATAAACCAACAATCGTACGAAGATTGAAGTTATTCCCGTCTCATCCAAAACACAAATCTGACTCTGTGATATATTAATTTATAACAGAGATATCGTATATATACGTCGCAGTTCTAGGTGAATTAGGAACTTGTCAATTTAAACGGCACGCAGCAGGCGAATAATGGTAGAATGGATTAATTTCGTTCGAAACGCTGTTTCTCTTGCTGTTCCGAATTAGTTCCAGCGATACGTATTAAAACGCTATTGTTAATGGCATTTTCTAGTCTTCCTCTTTTCATTCATTTTCAGCTTTTAACGAAGAATTACCACCTGGTTAAATTTCAAACTGACGTTTGATCGATGTGGTGAAATTCAACTATTTAATCGAAATTATAACACGTTGTACTAATTATAAAATACTACTCTTATATTAATTGTGTAGTAATTATAACTTTGTTAACACTTGCCTCGCTAATATGCGTATTGGACGAGTAAAACGTGATATTTTGATTTCAAATATTTTCATGCACTTTTATAAACTTGAAGCAATTTCGAGCACTGCTCGTACGTTTTATCAACTTTTCGAGCGATCGGTGTTCGAGTAATCTTCTTTCTTGTATCTTTTTTTCGTAATTTAACGTTTCATTTCCCCGTATATACTTGTATGTACCTAATAGTCGCGAAATTTGATGAAATTTCGAAATGGTTCGTATACCTAACAGACACGACGTATTCGGGAAAAGTGTCCACGAGTGTGCAAATACTTTCGTCGTCGTTATGAACCGCTGTCGTCCGCCAACAAGACGAATAAACGACGTGGAAAGAAAGTAAGATCTAAACCCTCCCTCCTTGATCATCCATCATCGTAAACCGAGTCTCGTTTTTATCGCGTTTCCGCGAAACTTTCTCGCTGGTTGCGGTTCCCTTGGTCTTTCATCCGGAATTCGAGTTTGCCGCGCGTCGCGTGACCATGCTGCCGGCGATAAAAATCGCGTTAGATCGTATGCGAACGAAGGGCGACAGCTTCGTTGCGTGAGACCGGTCGATGGATGTTTTCCTTTCCTCTTTTCACTTTTACGGACCGTGAAAATCTCGCGTCGCATGCGTCGCTGTAATCTGCGTAAAGATCGTGAAACGCTATCGTAGATGAACGTTAAGGCGAATATAAGACTCTCGCGTCCGATTAAATCCGAAAACTTTCTTAGCGTGAAATTGCGCTATTTGAAGAAATATGTGTTCGTAACTAGATTTTATCTTTTCTACGAGCTTGTACGGTATGTTAATGACGACGAGTAACCCTGGCCCAGTGCTAAACTGTAATAGATTGTGATTTTCTCAGGAAGAATCTAGTTTCTGATTTTTCATTTGCCCAAGTACGTGTTTTTTCTCCAACTGGCGATATTCGATTCTTTTAACAATTCAATTTGTTATATAAAATAATCGTTTACGTAGCTAAACATTTAATAAAATCAAGCTACCGTGCTACCGTCAAGGTTTGATATTCTCACGTAGAAAAAATACTTTTACAGGGCCTTAGTGGAATAGAATCTTAGGTGGCTGAAAGTAATCTTCCTTCGCTCTTTTTAAAAAGCAAAGGAAATTTTTTTTTCTTTTCCTCGACCACTGTCACGGCACACCGCTATAATCTATCTGGAAGCTAACAATAGAGTATCAAATACTGAAAACATTAAGAAAGACGATAGCCAATCTCTGTTTCGATCGATTTTGCCGATGGTTGGTTCCGGGGGACGCCAGTCACCGGCTTGGAATTGTGTAACAGCGATTTGTCCACGTTTAGCGGCGTCGTTATCGTGGCATCGGTCGTGCATAATTCTGTTTGAACGAATCATTATTGCGGTCATCCGTACATACGTGCCGGTAAATCCATTTACGGTCGCAGCTGTCGATTGTTCCACGTGTTAAATTACGAAGGATGATTGATGTCGTGCCATGGACCAAACGGTGCTTTAAAGGCGCGTCGAAACAAACATCGATAAAAATGGCAGATCATTCGTTCAAATATTTCGTTTAACGTCCAAGTATCTAAGAGGTTTGATCCTCTTCTAAATTGGTCGGCGAGGAAGTTCAGAAATGTTCCAAAGTATCTAAAAACTGTGATTCGTGGGAAATAATGTCTGTATAAACTGTTGTATATACGTAATTTAGGTTAATAATACGTAATTTCGAGTTTGTTAAGTAATCTATTAGGTCAAACTTGAAGTTGTTAGGTGTGTAGTCGGATCTTGAATTCTCTACGGTGAAAAGCTCCACCGAAAGATCGGAGAAATCTCGCAGAATAAATTCAAGCAATTGGAAAAGTACGTTAGAGTGACCAAGCAATTCTTGTAAATAACGTAAATTAGAGAATTTCTTACGATTAGAACTATCGCTGGCAAAGTCGAAAAATTGTCCAGAGTGAAGTCACAAAACTGAAAAACGAATCACACGGTCGAAAGTCTCGCTAGAAGGGTATAAAAATCCTCTTTATAAAATAAAATTATAAAATATGAAAAATGATATTTTCTCCCTTTCTCTCTCTTTCTCTGCGGACCTAATCCTCGAAAGTCGTTTCTAATCCTCGAAATCAAGCTATATCGACGCAACGCGAGTAAACGAATTTCTCATGACGAACAATTTTCCCAGAAGACGCTGGAAATCCCGGAGAAACGTGAGCCAGCCCGAAAGTCTCCCGTTCCAAAGACGAATCTATCACGGGAGTGAAAATCCTGTGGGCTGTGCGCCGCGAACGGCGCGATTACACAAATTATAGCGAAGGGCGGGGTCGTCTCGCCGCGGAGTAAGTTAAATAGGATTCCTAGGGACATTTCGATCTGCCGATTTCGCGGATCCTCTTTAGCTAGCAGTCTCCACCGAGCTAATCCTCGACGTATGTCGCGATTTCGCGATCTGCATACTGCTCAGCCCCGCCCGGAGTAATTTCCCAGGGACTTAGGCTCGGTTCTCAACGGCTGACGCCGCGCACGAAACGGTTTGCCCAACGTATTAAGTCGTTGCCGCGCGCCGGGATTAACGATCGACTCGCGATTTCGTTTGCACTTAACCCGTGTGTGAGCTGGAATTAGATCCGGATTTCGTGCCTTTCGGAAATCTCACTGCCGAAAGGAAAATATTGCGAAATTACATACGAAGCAGATGGCAAAAAAAATCGTACCAGGACTAGACTTCTCATCTATCTATATGTCGCGCGTGAAAAAAGAAAGAGGATGCGATACTTTAAGGGTTTATGATACTCGGCGAGTAGAGCGAGAAATATGCAATCAACATAGGCCCTGCGATCAATCCTGTCGACGTAAAATCGATCGTTATCATTTACGAACATTCGATGTCGCGAGTGAGTTTCTTCTTTGAACGTAAACAAAGAGATTGATTCAGTAGTACGTCAACTCAAGATTGGGGAAATTGTTAATTGTCTTGTGAAAATTTTTTCAGCGCAAAATTGCACCATTCGAAGAAATATAATAAATTGTGATTTTCCTAGGAAGAACCTAATTTCTGATTTTTAATTTACCGAAGTGCATGTTTTCCCTCCACCTGGTATTCGATTCTTTTATAATTTAATTTGTTATATCGTCTTAACCAGCGACTTCGGTAATCTGGTAAATATTTGGACAGAAATATTTCATAAAATAACCATTTACGTAGTTAAACTGCAGGTGGTTAATTTCCTCGTTAAATCTTCGCCAAAACGAAGGGAAACATTAAAAAAAAATCAAGCTACCGTGCTGCACCAAGGTTTGATATTCTCATGTGGAGAAATACTTTTACAGTGTCTTGTAATTTTATACACGTATGTACCAAAATATGCGCTAATGACGTAGGAAGACTTGGTAAAGTTTTTTTGATAAGCTTCCCCTGTACAGACTTGAATACGTGATATACGAGCTAAAGGATTTAATTTTATGGCTTGAAATGTCTGTTTTTTTCTGATGGAAACGCACCGAATTACCGTATATGAATGCAGCAATTTTTCAGTATTTTTAATTATTTCTCCTAGTTGTTGGATGAATTTTTGTGAAACGTTAGATCTTGTCATATTATATATTTTGCACCACGTATTCGTATAAGGATTGACAATCTTTTGTAACGTATTATGTTCTTATATTATTACCGACCACTGGTCTGCGGACTTTTATGCAAATTCATATTTTCGCGAATACGGTGGAAGGAGTAGGACCTAGGCAGAAATTCAATTTACTTATTAAACATTATGAAAAGTATACTTTGAACATTTTATACGTTTTTGCGTATGTCATGCGCATTCTATGCGTCTTTATATCTTTAAATTTCTCACGATTGCATAAAAATCCACAGTCTACCGATCGTATTATACGTATATTATAATATTTTTTAAAAAATTAGTCAGTTCGCTTGACGGCTGTATTCACTCTGTATGCTCTTGCGATTGCACGCAGCCTTCGTCGAGGTGTCTTACTAAATTAAGAAAGTATATTAATTTCTGTTGCAGGTAAGATATCTGGCTTCTTTGGCTCCGTTTCCTTTGGCACGCGAGCAGCTCGGTAAGTTAATTAAATTTTTCTTTTACTACACCTCACCGCCGTAATTAAAAAAAAGAAAAAGATCAAAGAAAATTTATCTGTTTGTTGCGTAGCCCGTATTACTACGAAAGCTTCGTTACGTGTCTCTTTCAATTAATATTTTCAAAACACCTTTCGCTGTACAAAACCCGGTTGCGAGATGTAATTAGGTAAATCTTTGAGCGAAAGGGTTACAAATAACGTTTCCTTAGAGTACCGATTCAGGGATTTTACTTAGACTTTATACTTCGAGCAACCGAAGACAGATCTCTCTGTATTTTTGTGCCAATTTTGAAGATTTTGTTGAATATGCTTGAGAAAATCGGGAAAATTTACAAACTTTAGAGACGAAATTAAGATATTAATTTAGTATTAATTTAACGAAAAGATTTGGAGATTTTATCTGAAAGATCTAGGAAACGAAGCGTTTCTTCTGAGTTATAGTTACCGAAGTTGTTGATGTTTCTGATGGAAAGATGAATTTTGTAGGGTGTGTTTTGTAGCGTGAAACTCGTAAATAATCTTTCAATAATAGCAAGATTTCACGAATATTGTAAACAGCGATTCTGTAGTGACTAGGGAATAGGCATCAGAAGCAGCTTGCCCCAAACTTAAAGAAACCCGATTTCTTCAAAGCCAAGGACGTACAAAAAAAAAAAAAAGAAAATAGAAAAATAAAATAACAACATTGAAAACGCGAACAGCACCGGTGCCTCGTTAATTAAAGATGGCCGTGATCTGGAAGAGCCGCGACGCCTTGTAATTATTTCATTTGCCACTTCTCGATTTGACAGTAATTAACGAAGCCACTTGGTCGAACGAGTATTAGCGCGTCAGACGTGAAGTCAGCTCCGTTCTTCCTCTTGTTTAACCTTCGTCTCACCTTATGGAACCGCGGTCGCGTTTAATTAACGATACCCTCCTCTACCATCCTCCCACCCCCTGATCTACGGAAATATTCGTGTCTGAGGGATTAGCAGACTCCTCGGTGTTAGTCTCGAAATTTTCTCTAGAGAGATTAGCGGGATATTTAAATTTCGTTCTTTTCTTCTTTCCCTTTTCGATACGTTAATTCTTAATACAAGTACATATAATAACATCGTATCAACGATATAAAACGAATTACTAATGTAACGTAAACAAGACTTTCAACTGTTTCTCAAGATTGCCACTTTCATCCAGAGATGTTCTCGTACGCGCTTTTCCCAATTCGGGGAAGCGAGAATCTTTCTCTTGCACAAAACCGCGGCTTCGTTCCCTCATTTATTCGTTCAGTGCGGATAATCAGGTTACCACTTTCGAGGGAGCCGATTGCTCGAGCATTCTCGAGTCCGTCGAGGGTGAATCGGTTCGTTGCGCAGTCGATCCTGATCGACGCCGCTCGTTTCTGAACAATCAGAGCTCCGAAGAACCCATCGATGGTGCTCGTGGTCGCCACCAATTTCCCGTCGTTTTTTCCCTCGAGGACCACTGTCTGATCACGCCTTCGAATTTCGATTCCCTCCCCCATTTTCTTCCGCTTTTCATCCCTTACTTGCCTCAATGATCGTAATCTTCGCCGTTGGCAAACAATTCGAGGAACGTGTTTTATTTGTTCGAGAGCGAATTTTACGAACCTTGTTTTCTGATTTTTCCAATTTTCTATTTCTCTCTCTTTTCTCTTTCTCTCTTTCCCTCTCCCCTTTTTCTTCCTTTTTTAAATTTCTGAACGTTTTCTTTAAGAAGGGCGTACTTTTGTTCTTCTCAAGGTGGTTGATTGGGGTTTTTGTTTGCGATCGTGAATTCTTGGTTCCTCTACTATCATTGAAAGAGGGAAACGCGTTGAAATAAAAATTAAAGAAAAATCCAGGGAGATTAAGAAAGATTGAAGGAACAGGATAGCAAGTTAAAGAACGACTCTAACTCGAAGAAACTTGATAACGCGAGCGGAAGAGAAAATTGAATTTACAAATTTCGAAAGAAATATCGAAGAAATACCGATGAGACTGTTCGTTTCTAACGATACTGCCAACTATTAAGAACTCGACTCAGTAACGTCAATTTTAATCGCATCCATTAAGACAAGTTTCCTGGTTTCTTTGTATATTTTTTCCGCAAGTCCTCGATTTAAAGATTCATCGTTTGCTTCGTTTTCTCATTTGTCAGTCCATCTGACAATTTCGTAAATTCCAGTTCTATTTTATTCCGTTTAAGGAATGTATCTTGGAAACCAATTGTGCGCAAAACCTAGAAGTTACACACGATTCATTCGTGGTTCTCGTTTCACCGAAACGTTAGGAAATCAAGCTCGGCGAGCCACTCGAAACTCGAGCAATCTGTACTGCGTAAACAAAATTTTTTAATTTTTTTTTTTTTTTTTGCGTCGCTCAAGACGCAAACCTCACCGAGAGTCGAAGAAACTTATTAAACTCGATCAAATGGAATCCATTAAGCATATGAAACATAGACCGCCGTAACCATTCGATACATCGATATTCCCATCTCTACTCCATAAATCATCCTAATACGAGTCCTAATTCTACCAAGCCCATTAATGTAAAACCACTGTAACACATCACAACCGTGCAACAATGCGGAAAATCACACGTTCCCTCCACCTGTCTACCACTATTCACCATTCAGCCTCTCCCCACCTATCACGAAAACGCCGCACAACCAGTAGAGAAAACCCTATAAAAGCGAAAGATCAGTCACCAAAGCAGCCACGTTGCCCCGCGAAGAAGGAATCGGTCTAACCTGGCCAGCGAGAATCTACTTACTCGCAGAGTGCCTCCGAGCGAGCACGGAGTCGGTCGATCAGAAGCGAGAAGGGGAGAGAGATAGACACGCGACTCGAAGAAAAAGAGACGAAAGCGGTCGAAACAGGGTTAGTAAAGACCCACACCGTTGCTCTCTCGGTCGAGCTCAATCGTCGCTCGGTGGTAGGGATGAGTGTTAGTGGTGGGGGAAGCGTATGTGCGATCGTGTAGGCGGCGTAGAGGCACGGAGAGGCACGAATGCGCGCTGGCGCGCACACTCGAGTCGTTTCGTGCAAGTTCGCCTGCGCTCGGGCGTCGCTCGCTCGCTATTGGCGACGCC